GGGGGGGGGGGGGGGGGGGGGGGGGGGGGGGGGGGGGGGGGGGGGGGGGGGGGGGGGGGGGGGGGGGGGGGGGGGGGGGGGGGGGGGGGGGGGGGGGGGGGGGGGGGGGGGGGGGGGGGGGGGGGGGGTGTAGTGAGTGTCCTGGGAGTTTTTCTGTTCAGTAACATGTAGGGGTGTAGTGTGTGGACTGGGGGTTTCTCTGTACATTAACCTGTAGGGGTGTAGTGTGTGGCCTGGGGGTTTCTCTGTATAGTAACCTGTAGGGGTGTAGTGTGTGGCCTGGGGTTTCTCTGCACAGTAACCTGTAGGGGTGAAGTGTGTGGTCTGGGGGGGTTTCTCTGTACATTAACCTGTAGGGGTGTAGTGTGTGGCCTGGGGGTTTCTCTGTATAGTAACCTGTAGGGGTGTAGTGTGTGGCCTGGGGTTTCTCTGCACAGTAACCTGTAGGGGTGAAGTGTGTGGTCTGGGGGGGTTTCTCTGTACATTAACCTGTAGGGGTGTAGTGTGTGGCCTGGGGGTTTCTCTGTATAGTAACCTGTAGGGGTGTAGTGTGTGGCCTGGGGGTTTCTCTGTATAGTAACCTGTAGGGGTGTATTATGTGGACTGGGGGTTTCTCTGTACAGTAACCTGTAGGGGTGAAGTGTAAATGTGTGGTCTGGGAAATTTCTCTGTAGAGTTTCCCAACGATTTCACTGATAGATGTGCCAAATGTATATACAAAAACACAAACCTGACTCTATATACCATTTTGTCTAGACATCTTGCTTTAATTATAAGAGATTCTCATGTTATGGAACCCTAGACTATGTTTGTATGCTGAAGACGGGATGAAGACTGTACTTTTATCCTACTAAGAATTTAGCTTGTATCACTTCTAATACAGTCAAAACATAGGATGGACATCAGTTGATACATATCTTGATATACCGCAAAGTTCACCAGCAGCAATATTTTTATAAATTTTTTGTAGTTTGTTTAAAACTCATAAATTTTCTCAAATTATTTAAATTAAGGTTTAATTAACATGCACATAGATGGGAATTAGTATACAGCTAAACTGAAGAGATTTAATTAACATGCACACAGGTGGGAGTTTGTACACTGCTTTAATGAACGAAGACATCTTTGTAATGGAAGAAGACATCTTTGTAATGGAAGAAGACATCTTTGTAAAATATTGTGACACAGCAGGTCACTTAAAACTTGGATGTTGAGCCATTAAAAACAACACAAAGATAAACATATGCACAACTAAGATGTGTTAAAACAATTATGTAAATGCTTACCTTACTGAATTACCACAATTTGATATTAAGAGTTCATGGCTGAACAATATTAATTTTATTTTCACATGCATATGCATGCAATATAAGATATCCACATGTGAATCATCAGATTCAGTTAAGAGGAGTACAGGCATTCAAAAGTCTGAGTTAACCCCACCCCAAAACACTTGTTTGTTGATATCTTAACCCCACTCCTCTGTATGATCACACCTTAATCTTTCATAACTGTTTACGATTACTTCACAATGAAGCTGTAACTGAAACTGTACACATGTACAATTCTCCCATACACACTTCTCCCTCCCCTACATGTGACATTAACCGTGTCTCCTTGGTAATACCTGTATACACGATTCTTCCATACACACTTCTCCCTCTCCTACATGTGACATTAACTGTGTTTCCATTTTAATTACACATGTACAATTCTCCCATACGCACTTCTCCCTCCCCTACATGGGACATTAACTGTGTTTCCTTGGTAATTCCTGTATACACAATTCTCCCAAACCCCCAACCCCCTCCCCTACATGTGACATTAAATGTCTTTCCTTGGTAATACCTGTATCCACAATTCTTCCATACACACTATTCCCTCCCCTACATGTGAAATTTAAACTGTTTCCCTGGTAATATCCTGTATACACAATTCTCCCAAACCCCCAACCCCCTCCCCTACATGTGACATTAACCGTGTCTCCTTGGTAATACCTGTATACACTATTCTTCCATACACACTATTCCATCCCCTACATGTGACATTTAAACTGTTTCCCTGGGAATAACCTGTATACACAATTCTCCCCTACACACTTCTCCCTCCCCTACATGTGACATTAACTGTGTTTACTTGGTAATACCTGTATACACTATTCTTCCATACACACTATTCCCTCCCCTACATGTGACATTTACTGTGTTTTCCTGGGAATAACCTGTATATACAATTCTCCCATACACACTTCTCCCTCCCCTACATGTGACATGTAAACTGTTTCCCTGGTAAGAAACTGGATACACAATTCTCCCATACACACAACTCCCTCCCCTGCATGTGACATTAACTGTGTTTCCTTGGTAATACCTGTATACACAATTCTTCCATACACACTATTCCCTCCCCTACATGTGACATTTAAACTGTTTCCCTGGTAATAACCTGTATACACAATTCTCCCATACACACTTCTCCCTCCCCTACATGTGACATTAACTGTGTTTCCCTGGTAATAACCTGTATATACAATTCTTCCATACACACTTCTCCCTCCCCTACATGTGACATTAACTGTGTTTCCTTGGTAATACTTGTATACACAATTCTTCCATACACACAACTCCCTCCCCTACATGTGACATTAATTGTGTTTCCTTGGTAATACTTGTATATACAATTCTTCCATACACACTTCTCCCTCCCCTACATGTGACATTAACTGTGTTTCCATTTTAATACCCGTATACACAATTCTTCCTTCTCAACATCCCAACATATAGAGAACTTTTAATACTCATATTACTGGTACTCAGTACCTTTCTACAGGTGTGGCTTTATATACGCAGCCTACTGGTACTAAGTCCCTTTCTACACATGTGGCTGGGGGTACTCAGATTACTGGTATTCAGTACCTTTCTACAGGCGTGCATGTGGCTTTATATTCTCAGATTACTGGTACTCAGTACCTTTTCTACAGGTGTGGCTTTATATACGCAGATTACTGGTACTCAGTTATCTGAGTATATAAAGCTACACCTGTAGAAAGGTACTGAATACCAGTAAACTGAGTATATAAAGCCAAATGCACACCTGTAGAAAGTTACTGAATACCAGTAGTCTGAGTATATAAAGCCGCATGTGTAGAAAGGTACTTAGTACCAGAAGGCTGAGTATATAAAGCCAGATGTGTAGAAAGGTACTTAGTACCAGTATGCTGAGTATATAAAGCCAGATGTGTAGAAAGGTACTAAGTACCATAAGTCTGAGTATATAAAGCCACCTGCCCACCTGTAGACAGGTCCTGAGTACCAGTAGGCTAAGTATATAAAGCCACATGTGTAGAAAGGTACTCAGGACCTTTCTACAGGTGTGGCTTTATATCCTCAGATAACTGGTACTCAGTACCTGTCTACGGGTGTGCATGTGGCTTTATATTCTCAGATTACTGGTACTAAGGACCTTTCTACAGGTGTGGATGTGGCTTTATATACTTAGCCTACTGGTACTCAGGACCTTTCTACAGGTGTGGATGTGGCTTTATATACTTAGCCTACTGGTACTCAGGACCTTTCTACAGGTGTGCATGTGTCTTTATATACTCAGCCTTCTGGTACTAAGTACCTTTCTACACATCTGGCTTTATATACTCAGATTCCTGTACTCAGTACCTTTCTACAGGTGTGGCTTTATATACTCAGATTACTGGTACTCAGGACCTTTCTACAGGTGTGCATGTGGCTTTATATACTCAGCCTACTGGTACTAAGTACCTTTCTACACATGTGGCTTTATATACTCAGACTTCTGGTACTTAGTACCTTTCTACACATGTGGCTTTATATACTCAGATTACTGGTACTCAGTTCCTTTTCTACAGGTGTGGCTTTATATACTCAGATTACGGGTACTCAGTACCTGTCTACAGGTGTGGCTTTATATACTCAGACTACTGGTACTAAGTACCTTTCTCCACATGTGGCTTCATATACTCAGACTACTGGTACTCAGTACCTGTCTACAGGGGGGCATGTGGCTTTATATACTCAGACTACTGGTGCTAAGTACCTTTCTACACATGTGGCTTTATCTACTCAGATAACTGGTACTCAGTACCTGTCTACAGGAGTGCATGTGGCTTTATATACTCAGATTGCTGGTACTCAGTACCTGTCTACAGGTGTGGCTTTATATACTCAGACTACTGGTGCTAAGTACCTTTCTACACATGTGGCTTTTTATACTCAGATTACTGGTACTCAGTTATCTGAGTATATAAAGCCACATGTGTAGAAAGGGACTTAGCACCAGTAGCCTGAGTATATAAAGCCACATGCACAGCAGTGACCTGTAGGAAGGTACTGAGTCCCAGTATTCTGAGTATATAAAGCCACATGCACGCCTGTAGACAGGTACTGAGTACCAGTAATCTGAGTGTATAAAGCCACATGTGTAGAAAGGTACTTAGCACCAGTAGTCTGAGTATATAAAGCCACAAGCACACCTATAGACAGGTACTGAGTACCAGTTACTGAGGATATAAAGCCACATGCACACCTGTAGACACGTACTGAGTACCCGTAATCTGAGTATATAAAGCCACATGCGCACCTGTAGACAGGTACTGAGTACCATTAATCTGAGTATATAAAGCCACATGTGTAGAAAGGAACTAAGTACCAGAAGTCTGAGTATATAAAGCCACATGTGGCTTCATATACTCAGACTACTGGTACTCAGTACCTTTCTACAGGTGTGGCTTTATATACTCAGACTACTGGTATTCAGTACCTTTCTACAGGTGTGCATGTGGCTTTATATACTCAGATTGCTGGTACTCAGTACCTGTCTACAGGTGTGCATGTGGCTTTATATCCTCAGACTACTGGTACTCAGTACCTTTCTACAGGTGTGCATGTGGCTTTATATACTCAGACTACTGGTACTCAGTACCTTCCTACAGGTCACTGTTGTGCATGTGGCTTTATATACTCAGATTACTGGTACTCAGTACCTGTCTACAGGTGTGCATGTGGCTTTATATTCTCAGACTACTGGTACTAAGTACCTTTCTACACATGTGGCTTTATATACTCAAATTACGGGTACTCAGTACCTTTTCTACAGGTGTGGCTTTATATACTCAGATTACGGGTACTCAGTACCTTTTCTACACATGTGGCTTTATATACTCAGACTACTGGTATTCAGTAACTTTCTACAGGTGTGCATGTGGCTTTATATACTCAGCCTACTGGTACTCAGTACCTTCCTACAGGTCACTGTTTTGCATGTGGCTTTATATACTCAGATTACTGGTACTAAGTACCTTTCTACACATGTGGCTTTATATACTCACACTACCGGTACTCAGTACCTTTTCTACACATGTGGCTTTATATACTCAGATAACTGGTACTCAGTACCTTTCTACACATGTGGCTTTATATGCTCAGACTACTGGTGCTCAGTACCTTTCTACACATGTGGCTTTATATACTCAAATTACGGGTACTCAGTACCTTTTCTACAGGTGTGGCTTTATATACTCAGACTACTGGTATTCAGTAACTTTCTACAGGTGTGCATGTGGCTTTATATTCTCAGACTACTGGTACTAAGTACCTTTCTACACATGTGGCTTTATATACTCACACTACTGGGACTCAGTACCTTTCTACAAATGTGGCTTTATATACTCAGATTACTGGTACTCAGTACCTGTCTACAGGTGTGCATGTGGCTTTATATACTCAGCCTACTGGTACTCAGTACCTTTCTACACATGTGGCTTTATATGCTCAGACTACTGGTGCTCAGTACCTTTCTACACATGTGGCTTTATATACTCACACTACTGGGACTCAGTACCTTTCTACAAATGTGGCTTTATATACTCAGATTACTGGTACTCAGAACCTTTTCTACAGGTGTGGCTTTATATACTCAGATTACTGGTACTCAGTACCTTTCTACACATGTGGCTCCATACATTCAGATTTCTGGTACTCAAAACTTACCTAAAGTTGTTACTTTATGCACTCTGATTACTCATAAATAACATACCTAAAGGTATGGCTCCATATACTCAGATTACTAGTACTCAGTATTTACCTGCTGGTGTCGCTCCATACACTCGAATGACTGGTACTTTGTACACATCTGAACCCCTGAAGTCAGAATGGAGGACATCAAGTTCAGAAATCGGTGTGGCCTGGTAGTGGTCCGTGGTCACTATCCTCATGGAAAACATTATGGTCCTTTATTTGACCAGTCACTTCCTAGTCTGCAACTTCTCGTTTCATACTGGTCAAAGCCATTCTATAATATACAAATACAGTTCTGATTATTTATCAGTCCACACATTTTCCTTAATTCCATTTTTATTTCCTCTTAAATAGATGCATAAAATAATAAGAGTACACAAAAAATCTGCTTCCTGTTGTCATGATTAGAACACATTCAAAGCCTTTCCATCAACATTTCATTTTCCCTTGACCTGTTTGTAACCATTAGGATGTAAGATGTCATACACAATGTTCACACACATACATAAACATACACAATGTTTATGTATGTGTGGGAACATTGTGATCATGTTTATGTATGTGTGGGGACATTGTGATAATGTTTATGTGTGTGTGGGAACATTGTGTATGTTTATGTATGGGTGTGAACATTGTGTATGTTCATGTATGTGTGGGAACATTGTCTATGTTTATGTATGTGTGTGAAAATTGTGTATGTTAATGTATGAGTGTGAACATTGTGTATGTTCATGTATGTGTGGGAACATTGTCTATGTTTATGTATGTGTGTGAAAATTGTGTATGTTTATGTATCTGTGGGAACATTGTGTATGTTCACACACATACATAAACATACACAATGTTCCCACACATACATAAACATTATCACAATGTTCCCACACATACATAAACATACACAATGTTCCCACACATACATAAACATACACAATGTTCACACACATACATTAACATACACAATGTTGTTTCACCACTGAAATGATTATTCTGACACTGTTATCTTTCTTAACCAAAGTAAGCATATCTTTGCATATAAATACTTTTTTCTCTTTCTTAATTAAACAGGTTACCACAGTACAAGGATATTTTATGGGCAACACATTACTTATCCTGTATTTCTTTTTAATTTAAAAAAAATCATCAAACTTTGCTTCATTTCCTACAAACCATTTTTCCAGAAATAAGTGTTCTTTATTGAGTCATGAGAATTCATACATCCCTATAATTGTCAAAACATTTTAGGGTGAAAATGATAAGTCCCGCTATTATTACAGTAACAAATCTGAGGAAATGGAATGTGTTCTTTCCTGACAAAATGTTAGCTGAGTGCCACACCATAGCTAAACTAGAAATGCTTTTACTGGGAGGCATCATAGGAAATTGAATTTCTCCTCTTTTCATCTGTCAGATATAGGAACGTTTTATGTACGATGGTAGAGAAAAAATCAATGTCTTAGAAAAAAAACAGCCGAACTCCTGAGCATGCATACAACCAATCCTTCAGGCTGGTCAGGGGGATTGTATACAAGTTAAAAACATGCTTTGCATGTAGAAGAAGGCAGACAGGAACAAATGTCCGGGAGTTCTTGACACATGTTCTCTGCTTTCCACACTATGGCATTTTATACAGACTGACCTCATGATAGGTACTTTTAGTTAAAATGTTTGCAAGACATTTAATTCCACAAAAACATTGCACACAGTTGAATGTATCAATAATTCAATCATCAACTATATTGATAGACTAAATATAGGTTCTCAGGATAGCAAATTAATTAACTGAAACCTGGCAGGAATAATGTCACCGAGTTAGCTAAATATAATAACCTGGAATGTTATAAATGTGTATTACACCAATTAGTTAGTTGAATTTAGGTACGAGGGATACCAACAATGTCAATTAATAAACTTAATTCAACAAGCTTAATATAACCTGTGCCAATTATTTAAGCTTAAATATGTGCACAGGATGTAGGATCTAGTCATTTGACCATTACGGTACTGTAAATATTATTGCACATATACCTATATGTAATAAGGACATTTCAAATTCAGTTTTTTTTGTATGATTTTTTTCAGGAGAGTCCCAAATACAACTGTCAAATTTTGCCATGTCCCATTACTATGAGATAGGGTTGGTTCTGAAAATAATGTGGGCAAGTCACAAATGAAAAACATCACTAAAACATCGGTCTCCCAAAAATAACTAAATATGGCCTCCTATCAAATAATCAGGTTACAGCCAACAACTTGTCCAGGATATCAGTTCATACTGATATATCTAAACTGATCAAAGGTGCAGGTCGTAAAGTGTCCATGTTTACAGTGTGGATTACACAGGAAACCTGTTTCAACTGCAGTATAATTGTATGTAATTATATGTACTTTCAATTACATAAATGATGTGAAAACTCTAAAACTCAATTATGTAATCTTAAAAGCTGAATATACTAATATTTTCATAAATAGATCAGGAAAATTGCACAGCCAGAATGAGATAAATATAAACATTGTAGATATGCATCATAGTGTATGATAACTCGCCAGATAAATTCTTACTGACTCTGCTGGAACCACTACTGCTTCAAACCAGTTGAAACATGCAGCCATGAATTAATGACTGGAATTCCTAGGAAATCCATTTAAATTGCAGTACAAGTATCACCTTGAGTCTGCCTGCTGCTAATTTACAAACTCCACCACTAGTTCCAGGAGAAACAAGAATTTGTGCCAAACACATCCACATAACTCGCTAGACACCATTATTTTTACATGTTGTGTACGAGTGCAACTCTCAGAGTTTGGAAGACACACTTACTAATTATAGCACATCCCTGGCACAGTATTGATCCTAGAAAACCCAGCTGTGAGAGACTGGTGTACACACCTAGTGTCAGCTTCCTCTGACCACAATCAAATCAATAGTCTCTCACAGACAATCCACCTTAAACAATCCACTATCCTTCAACCATCACAACCACCCTCCCCACCACCCCTGACCTAGCTAGTTACTGTCCTAGTCACCTCCACTAATTCATGACCTTAATTACCTTCACTAATCCACTGTCCTAGCCTCCTTCACCTAAGCCATGGTCTTAATTGCCTTCACTTATCCACTACCCTAGTACCCTTCATTAATCCATGGTCTTAATTACCTTCACTAATCTACTTACCTAGTCACATTCACTAATCCATAATTTTGATCACCTTTACTAATCATGTCCCAACTACCTTCCCTAGTCCTGTCCTAGCTACCTTCCCTTATCCTGTCCTAGCTATCTTCCCTTATCCTGTCCTAGCTACCTTACCTAATCCTTTCCTAGCTATCTTACCTTATCCTGTCCTAGCTACTTACCTAATCCTTTCCTAGCTACCTTCCCTAATTCTTTCCTAGCTATCTTCCCTAATCCTGTCCTACCTACCTTCCCTAATCCTATCCTAGCTATCTTCCCCCGTCCTGTCCTAACTACATTGTACCTTACCTAGTCCTGTCCTAGCTACCTTCCCTAATCCTGTTCTAGCTACCTTCCCCTATCCAGTCCTAGCTACCTTACCTCATCCTATCCTGGCTACCTTCCATAGTCCTTATCCTGTCCTAGCTATCTTTCCCAATCTTGTCCCAACTACCTCCCCTGGTCTTGTCCTAGCTACCTTCCCTAATCCTGTCCTAAATACCTTACCTAATCCTGTCGTAGTTACCTTCCCTAGTCCTGACCTTGCTACCTTCCTTTATCCTGTCCTAGCTACCTTCCTCAATCCTGTCCTAGCTACCTTCCTTAATCCTATCCTAGCTACTTACCTAATCCTGTCCCAGCTACCTTCCCTAATCCTATCCTTCCTACCTTCCCTAATCCTATCCTAGCTATCTTCCCTAGTCCTGTCCTGGCTACCTTCCATAGTCCTATCCTAGATACCTTTCCTAATCCTGTCCCAACTACCTTCCATAGTCCTATCCTAGCCGTCTTCCCTAGACCTATCCTAGCTATCTTCCCTAATTGTGTCCTAACTACCTTCCCTAATCCTATCCTAGCTATCTTCCCTAATTGTGTCCTAACTACCTTCTCTAATCCTATCCTAGCTACCTTCCATAGTCCTATCCTAGCTGTCTTCCCTAGACCTATCCTAGCTATCTTCCCTAATTGTGTCCTAACTACCTTCTCTAATCCTATCCTAGCTACCTTCCCTTATCCTGTCCTAGCTATCTTCCCTAATCCTGTCCTTCCTACCTACCCTAATCCTATCCTAGCTACCTCCCATAGTCCTATCCTGGATACCTTCCTCAATCCTGTCCTAGCTACCTTCTCAAAGCCTGTCCTTCCTTCCTTCCCTAATCCAATCCTAGCTACCTTCCATAATCCTATCCTAGCTACCATCCCTTATCCTGTCCTAGCTCCCTTCCATAGGCCTATATTGGCTACCTTCCATAGTCCTATATTGGCTACCTTCCATAGTCCTATATTGGCTACCTTCCATAGTCCTATATTGGCTACCTTCCATAGTCCTATCCTGGATACCTTCCTCAATCCTGTCCTAGCTACATTCCTTAATCCTATCCTAGCTACTTACCTAATCCTGTCCTAGCTACCTTCCATAGCCCTATCCTAGCTGTCGTCCCTAGACCTATCCTATCTATCTTCCCTAATTGTGTCCTAACTACCTCCCCTAATCCTATCCTAGCTGTCTTCCCTAGACCTATCCTAGCTATCTTCCCTAATTGTGTCCTAACTACCTTCCCTAATCCTATCCTAGCTACCTTCCCTTATCCTGTCCTAGCTATCTTCTCTAATCCTGTCCTTCCTACCTACCCTAATCCTATCCTAGCTACCTTCCATAGTCCTATCCTAGATACCTTCCATAATCCTGTCCTAGCTACCTTCCATAGTCCTATCCTAGATACCTTCCATAATCCTGTCCTAGCTACCTTCCATAGTCCTATATTGGCTACCTTCCATAGTCCTATCCTAGATACCTTCCCTAGTCCTGTCCTAGCTACCTTCCATAGTCCTATCCTAGTCACCTCCACTAATTCATGACCTTAATTACCTTCACTAATCCACTGTCCTAGCCACCTTCACTAAGCCATGGTCTTAATTGCCTTCACTAATCCACTACCCTAGTACCCTTCATTAATCCATGGTCTTAATTACCTTCACTAATCTACTTACCTAGTCACATTCACTAATCCATAATTTTGATCACCTTTACTAATCATGTCCCAACTACCTTCCCTAGTCCTGTCCTAGCTACCTTCCCTTATCCTGTCCTAGCTATCTT